CCTCCTCCTCCTCGTCCCTCCTCCTCCTGCTCTTCTTCTCCTCCTCCTCCTCCTCCTCCTCCTCCTCGTCCTCTCCTCCTCCTCCCGCCTCCTCCGCCTCCTCGTCCTCCTGTCCCCCTCCCCCTCCACCTCCTCCTGCTTCCCCTCCCCCTCCCCCCCTCCTCCTCCTCCTCTCTCCTCCTTCTCCTCCTCCTCCTCCTCCATTCCGCTCTCGCCTCCTTCGCTTCCTTGAGTCATCCCTTCAACCCTCGCCTTCCCCTTCCCCCCTCGCTTTCCCCTTCCTCCCTTCGCCTTGTTCTTCTTCCCTTCCACCCTCGCCTTTCCACCCCCCCGCCTCTTCCACCGTCGCCTTCCCCCGAGTGTGGCGAACGTGGTAACAGGTGCCATGGCTGTGCCTCTTTGGACACTCTTGCCGAGTGGATGGGTTCGCCACGTACGTTTCGATTCGGAGCCTGCTGGTTCTCGTGCTTTCCGACTGCCGAGGGGGTTTAAGGTTCTTTCGGGGGGCGGTTGTATCCACCCCCCTCATTCGGCTCTCTTCTCCTCCTCGCAAACGTGTGTGTGTGTGTGTGTGTGTTCCTCGTGTGGCTTTTTTCTAGAAGTGTGCAACTCAGGAAGAATTTGGCCTCTGAGTGCTCTGGTAATCTCAATGGCGTCAGGCGGATGTACCGCAATCATGTTGTCGCATGGAGGCCACCAAAGGATCAGGCGGCCAGCCGAGCCAAGCCATCCGCGGCTTAGCTCGTTGCAGATGTGGATTTCGCAGCCCGAAGGGGCTCATTCCATTCCGTTCCCCCCCCTTTACCAGATCCCGCTCTTCCCGTCCCTCTTTCCACATCCCGCTCCCTCCAGTCCTTCCCCCCCCTCGCGCCTCCTCCCCCTCGCCTTCCTCCCAGCCCCCCCCCTTCTCCCCCTCGCCCCTCTGTAGTTGCACAATATGAATACTACCCTCCTCTCCCCCCTGACCCTGTCCAGAGAATCTCCCGTCCTGTCCGCGTATTGATTTGTCTCCAGATCATTATTTGTTTTTTCCTAGGTGTTTTTTCCAATCTGGTCGCTTCTGGTTTCTCCAAACTGTCATTCCGTTGCAACGCCGTCATTCCCGCGCGTCGGTCATTCAAAATCGTGTTCCCGCTGCAGCACTGGCCTTTTTCCCGCGCCTCCTGACGGCACTTGGCATTCGAAAGCGCCCACATCCACATCGAGCAGACACGGTTGCGGGGACATGGAGCCGGTATTCTGGACAGGCCCTGTTCTCTCGTAGACGTGCCACTTACGACCATCCAAGCCATCCGGTGCCATGCCGCGGCATGCAATGCGATGTTGTCTTGTGCACCGCTGAACGATGCCATGCTCTGCTTTGTTACGCTGTGTGATGCAATGTTTCACTACGCAATGCCACGCCATGCTATGAGATGCTTTTCTTTGCCGTGCTCTTCAAGGCCATGTTTCCCCATCCATCGCGTACCCTTTTGGCATCATTGGTCTGCTCGACATCTGCCTGTGCGAATATATACAAGATCTACGCCATGGTAAGGGGATGGGAGGGACGGGTGGGACGTCAGATGTGACGCCAGCGCACCTAGCTTGCCCTCGCCCCTTCCCCTCCCCCTCCCTTCCCCTTTCGTTCCTCCCTCCCCCCCGCCCCCCTCATCCTTTCCCCGCCCCTCCCCTCCCGTCCCCGCCGCTCCTCCCCGCCGCCCCTCCCCCTCCCCTCTTACAATTTATACTCAATATGAAAATACTCTTCCTCTTCCCCTGATGGCGTCCAGGCGATGGCCGCGCACCCTCCGCGTACTGTTTTTTTACACGCAGGATGCCCGGGAAATCCCGGGAAACGACTCTCGCTGAGGCGCCGGTGTCATTTCTTCCCAAAATGCTGCTCTCGTTGAGGCGCCGGCCTCATTTCTGCTCCCGAATCGTTCCGAATCGTGCTCCCGCTGCAGCGTGGGCCTCATTTTCGGATCGGTGGTTGGCCTCCGTCGTTCAGGATGGCGTTCTCGCCCCAGCGCGGGCCTCTTTCTCGCGCGCCCATCCGCCCGCCACCACCGCGCCGCACCACCACCACCACCGCCACCACCACCACCACGACCACCACCACCACCAGCACCAGCACCAGCACCACCACCACCACCACCACCACCACCACCACCACCACCACCACCACCACCACCACCACCACCACCACCACCACCACCACCACCACCACCACCACCACCACCACCACCACCACCACCACCACCACCACCACCACCACCACCACCACCACCACCACCACCACCACCACACAACCACGCACACACGCACGCACGCACGCACGTGCACCACCACCCACTACGCACGCGCGCGCGGAGCCACAGGTCCGCTACGACACGCGTCCGCGGATAGAGAAAATCAGCGCCATGGTAAGGGATGGGAGGGAGGGGTAGGACGTCAGATATGACGCGAGCGCACCTAGCTTGCCCGCCCCCCCTCTCCGCATCCCGCCCTCCGCCGCCCCCCCGCCCTCTCCAAACCCCTCTCCCTCCCCGCCCCCTCCCCTCCCCCCCCCCGGGGCCTCCGGCGCCTCCCCCCCCCGAGAGGCTGTTCTACTTCGAGGCGCAGAGCGAGGAGGCCCTCGCCCCCCGGCCCTCCCATCGCCGGCGTCGTCCCGCCGATCCCCATCCCCACCCCCATCCCAAGAGAAGGAGGAGGAGGAGGAGGAGGAGGAGGAGGAGGAGAAAGAGGAGAAGAAGCAGATGAAGGAGGATGAGGAGGAGGAGGAGGAGGAGGAGGAGGAGAAGGAGGAGAAAGAGGAGGCGGGGGAGGAGAAGGAGGACTTCAATTCAGGAAACGCACACCCCTCGAGGCCCCCACCAGATTACAACCCCAGTTGGGGATGCACCCCTCGACACCCGGAGGGAACGGCCCATATCCCCATCTCAGGGGGGTGAGTCGGCCAGCGTGGCCCAATCCACGCCGCTGGGGATGGGGATCGGTTGAACGATACTCACATCGTGGCCGTGGCCACAGCCGTCGTCGTCGCATTCGCCTCCGCCCTCTCTTCGCCGCCATCGTCGTCGCCATCGCCGCCGCCATCGCCGCCGCCATCCACTGAGATCTGGCGTTGGGACGAACATGCGACATCGCGAAAAAATCGTGACTGGAGCCCTGGACTCCATCTCTGTGTGCCGTTTCTCGAACCAGATCGATCTGCGTGGCCCCGAGACGAGGAGGAGGAGGAGGAGGAGGAGGAGGAGGAGGAGGGGGAGGGGGAGGAGGAGGAGGGGGAGGAGTAGGAGGAGGAGGAGGAGGAGGAGGAGGAGGAGGAGGCCGAGGCAGGGCGATAACACCGGGTGTGAAAAAAGTTGGGGGCCCCAAGTTGGAGCGATGTCACCATCGCCGTCGTCGTCGCTATCGTCGTCGTCGCGTCGCCGTCGCCATCCTCTCCATCGCCATCGCCACCACTGCCGTCGCCATCGCCGCCGCCATCGCCGCCACCATCGCCGTCGCCATCGTCGTCCTATCGCCGGCGCCATCGCCGGCGCCATCATCGTCGGGTGGTCGCCGCCGCCGCCGCCGCCGTCGCCGCCGCCATCGCCGCCGTCGCCGCCGCCATCGCCTTCCCCTCGCCGCTGTCATCGCCGCCGCCATCGCCGTCGATGTCTGCCGCCGCCGCCGCCGCCGCCGCCGCCTTCCCGTCGCCGCCGCCGTCGCCGCCCCAGTCGGGGGCGGAGCCACCCACGGGGGCGGTGGGCCCCTGCGGCCCGGGCGGGCGCCTCGCTGACGTGAGGGGGTGGGGGGAGGAGGAGGAGGAGGAGGAGGAGGAGGAGGAGGAGGAGGAGGAGGAGGAGGAGGAGGAGGAAAATAAGGAGGAGGAGGAGGAAAAGAAGGAGGAGGTGGATGAAGATGAAGAAGACGAATCATAATAATAATAATACCAATAATATTATTACTAATATTAATGATAATAAATAGAAGAAAAGGAAAAAGAGGAGGAGGAGGACGAACACTGGAACACTGGCTCCACGAGGACAGCGGCAGCCACCACCGCCTCCGAAGCCAAGAACGCCATCACCACCAGCAAGGCCGGTTCACGTGGAGATCTCAGCGATTGACGAGCACTTGACGACATACAACCAGCAGGACGGGCATTACAAACACAGCATCGACGCGATCAAGAACACCATCCCCGCAACGAACTTTCAGCAACTGGGAGACTACCTGATTGGGAATCGACAGGACAACACCTACGTCGAAGACGTCACGGGGATCCCGAGCGATGACATGATGACACCAGAAGGCATCACCTTTATCACCAACGAGACCCAGATCGCGAACCCACCAGAGGCCCCCAGACCGACGCGTGCGAACCCACCCGACCGGATGCCCACCATCCCGACCCCCCACAACCTCCCAGCAACACCACAACGTCAGCAAACCGACCATGACGTCATCCTGCGACACATCCACGACTTCGCCATCTACGTTTGGCGCAAGCGATTGCGGCACGTGCTTCATCCCCCTAGGTACCGCATGGGAGCCATGCCCGTGGATGGTGCTGCGCTTCTCGCAGCCGCCGTCCGCGCAGCTTGCCAGGCGAGGGCGCCTCGTCGAACCATCCCGGCGGTTTGCCGCTGCTGTCGCGGGCGCGCTCGTCGGGCCCATGGCGGAGGCCGTGCTTCGTCCGCGTTCCGAGGCGCCCGCCGGGTGCGCAGGGCGCGTCCGCTCCAGCTCCCGCCGGGGACCCTGCCATCCTGGTGGACATGCTGTGGGCCGCTCGCCGCGCTACGCGTGCTCGGGGAAGAATCCGCGAGCGAAGAACGGTATAAAGTAAACTTTTTCGCCGTCGGGGACACCTGCCCCTGGGCGGCTGGAAAGTTTATACCCCTACGGTGGCACCATAGGGGTATAAACTTTCCAGCCGCCCAGGGGCAGGTGTCCCCGACGGCGAAAAAGTTTACTTTATACCGTGCTTCGCCCGTTAAAAGAAGGTAAGACGCCGCGAGGCCAAGGCAGCC